CTTTTGGCTCAAACTTGTCATTATAACCAGCGCCTTGAGAGAGAAAAAAGAAGAAGACTATATACATGCATACATACAGCATAGATACTATATTATACACATGCACACTCTCATACACACTCTCAGTTTTCGCTCGCTTGAACTTGCAAGCCTCCCAACATCTCAAGCCCTCATGTCCTTTTTGCAAGATTTCAGACGACCGAGTCGAAGCACTGCTGGCGGCTCTGCTGTCCGACAGTCCATGGCAGGTTCGAGAGCATGCAAGTTTCTTCTGCTGCGACAGACCCTCTTCTCGAAGCGACAATTCTCATGTGTAGCGCTTGCATCTTGAAGGATGCCGGTTTATATGACGGAGCGAACTATAGAGTTTTCTTGAAGCAGAGCTCTGAATGCCATGAGCTCCCTTTCGGAAGCAGCATGGATCAGCAGTGCGAGGCGGGTTCCCGGTCTCGAGAACATTTGCCTGCAGGCTCATGCATGGTGAACCGGCAGGCCCATGATGATTTGATGCACGTGCAGCTGTTCATGAACATCGCTTTGGAGGCTCATGCACCGAACTGCACCGTTGCACGAAGTGTGTCAAGATCTGCATGCATGCCGCATGCTGCAACATTCCGCAGACCCGCAGACAGCACGGCCCGAACGGGATGCTGAGTGAAGGACGGACATGACATGCAGGCTCACTCCAGGGCAGGCTCACTCCAGGGTCAGCTTCACAAAGCTCTCTCGGGGCATGGGCGTTAGCTCATGGCTGCACATAGGCACAGCACAGCACTGCCTCTGAGACTCCTCGAAGGCCAGGGCCCTGTGATAGGGTCTGTGGCCGCGGTGCTGCCATGGCACTTGTGGCTGCGATGGAGCCAGTGCCTGAATGGCGTTCGGTCCGCGACTTCGCTGCAATGATTTGTGGAACAGATTCAGGGAAAAACAAAGTCTGCATTGTCGATCTTTGCACATATCAAGCACCCACCTCTTCTGTGCACCGATCTTTGGGCTTCATGCGTGGTAGTTATAGTCATGCGACGTGCAGGCTCTGGCAAAGTGAAGTGGACCTACGAGAAAGTGCAGGGCATCGCCATGGCGATGCGGGAGCACCTGCCGTTGGCAGTGAGAGACTTGATAGAAGGCCCCAATTGGAGGGGTGGCGCCATCGTCCGACTCGAGTCGGACGTGGCACGACCGACAGCGCGTGAGGTGTCCCGCCACTACTTCATCCTCAAGCCTTGGGTTCAAGCGCTCCCCACCACGGTGCCGAGCGCTTTTATGATCACTGACGCTTTGCTAATGCTGAACCAGTTGCTCGAGCGGAAGCTCTTCCCTGTCAAGCCGGATGAGTCATTGATCAACAAGGCGGCCGCGGAGGCCGTGAAGATCAAGAAGCTCCTTCAAGCTTTGAGGTACCTTTTTCGATCGAGCGGCTCAATTGCAGATCGGTTCACGAAGGCAGGCTCCATGTTGTTTTTTGCATGTCAATTAGCAAAAGCACCGGATCCCAGGTAAGAACAGTCGCTTCACGAGAATCGCGGATTTGAAGCACGACCTTCGACCGAAGGCGGGTATTGTCCTTTGAGAGGGTTTGGCGTGGAGATTGCTTTCTCGTTTGCCCTGCTTTTCGCTTGGAGGAGAAGACACCTACGCCTACGAAGGCGGAGGCGAACAAGGAAGGGGACAAGTCGATCGATGACGAGTACCTCGCCTCGATTGCCGACGAGGAGGCCGCTCCGATTCAAGATGTGGCTGTGGCTGCATGGGATCGAGGCTTCGTTAGTGCAGTTCCGCCGTGGTTCGGACTGCTCCGTGGATGCACGATCTGAGGAAGAGCCCCGGCTTTCGCAAGCCTCTACAAGGCAGTTGGGAGATCGCTCCGAAGATGATGAAGAGGATTCTTCGTTTCCCACCATAGGAAACTTCATTCACTCTTCAAAAGCCCCCAAACCCTATAATATAATCCTAAACCCTCCTTCCAGGACTTCTCGGACAAGGACTCAGTGACTTTGCTGAATGAACTGACCTCGGAGGAGGCCGGGATGCATGAGTTTTGTGAGACTTGCAGACAACAGCACTATGTAATGGAGGAGTTCAGTGATGATGAAGATCCTCTAGATCTCAAGCTCGAGGAGCTGCAGGCCGGTATGTTCCCGCCAGAGGTCTACGAGAAAGCGAGATTGTTGGCTGAACAGCACGCGGCTCAAGCGATGGAAATGATGGAGTCGCAAGCGGATTCGCCAGCCGCCGCTAGATTGCACAATCAGTTTTCCTGAGCATGCAGTGGGAGATATCAGATAGTGCGTGTATAAGGAGGATCCGGAGAAGACGGCCTCCTTTGCCGGAGCGTCGGACGTTCCGACGCCACCGAGCTCTGCCAGCTCATGCTCCCAGGACGATCGGCTTTGTGCTTGTTTTGGAGTGTGCTCAAGTATGTTCATGCATGAGGAGGATGTGGAGATGATTGCCAGCGGCAAGAGATTGCCACAGGACAGCGCTTGCTGTCTTGTGTCTCGAAACATGCATGAAACACTTCTGCACTGTATGAGCGCATCAGGATGATGGAGGGCCTTGGTTGTGTCGACCCCAACCAAAAGTCGATCTAGATGCACCAATCTTTGGAATATGGCCTATGGTTATCAGTGATGATGAGGATGACGATTTCAAGCATGCAACATGTACTTGTGCATATCCCGTGATAATGGAACACGCAGCGCATGTTCCTGTAAAGGACACCCGAAGTGGCAGCGACATGGAGCCGCACACATCACCGGAGAAGGACGTTGTGATAAATGAGCATGTGCATGTTAAAGTTGATTTGTAAGAGTTTGCTCCAGGATGAAGCGACCGACCTCGAGAACGCCGAGCAGATCCTCAGCCAGGAACCCTCGCAGGACGGTTTGAGTCTGATTTGTTCTTATCAGTATGTGCTTATAGTTGTGTGCTTTGGCAAAAGGAGCAGAGCGAGGCCGACGTGGAGCCGAAGAAGCGCCGATCCGCTTTGAAGGAGTTCCCATGCGGGTCATACATGAATTCGGTTTAACTCTTTGATTCTGCAGAACCGCGATGCCGTGATTACGCCGGGCAGCCAGGATGAGAGGGAGGCTGGGGACAGTGACGTGACATGCAAGTTGGTTTCCTTTTGCAGCTGCAAGCAGTGGGTTTTGTAGGATGAGATCCGGCCCAAGAAGACGAGGAACAAGGATGCCAGGTCGTCCCGACAGGACGGCACTCCCGAATGCAGGTTTCATTCATGAACTTTATACAGTGGTGCGATTTTGAAGGCTGGCATTGGGCCGAAGAAAAGGAAGGGCCAGGATGTGCATGACTCGTCCAAGGACAGTGAGATGCAGGTCAGTCTTCGTGTGCAGCAGTGATTCGTGCAAGTGTTGTGTCTTGTGGCAGGATGAGCAAAGCGAAGCCTACATTGGGCCGAAGAAGAGGAAGGACCAGGATGCGGATGACTCGTCCGAGGACAGTCAGATGCAGGTCAGTGTTCGTTACCGTGTGCAGCAGTGAATCGTGAAAGTATGTGGTGTTTGTGGCAGGATCAGCAAAGCGAAGCCTACATAGGGCCGAAGAAGACTGGGGGCCAGGATGCGCATGACTCGTCCGAGGACAGTGGGGATGCAGGTCAGTGTTCGTTACCGTGTGCAGCAGTGATTCGTCCAAGTATGTGGTGTTTGTGGCAGGATCAGCAAAGCGAAGCCGACATTGGACCGAAGAAGACTGGGGACCAGGATGCGTGTGACTCGTCCGAGGACAGTGGGGATGCAGGTCAGTGTTCGTTACCGTGTGCAGCAGTGATTCGTCCCAGTATGTGGTATTTGTGGCAGGATCAGCAAAGCGAAGCCGACATTGGACCGAAGAAGACTGGGGACTCGACCGAGGACTGTGGGGATGCAGGTCAGTGTTCAGGTGCAGCAATGATTCGTGAAAGTATGTGGTGTTTATGGCAGGATCAGCAAAGCGAAGCCGACATTGGACCGAAGAAGACTGGGGACTCGACCGAGGACTGTGGGGATGCAGGTCAGTGTTCAGGTGCAGCAATGATTCGTGAAAGTATGTGGTGTTTGTGGCAGGATCAGCGAAGCGAATCCGACATTGGACCGAAGAAGACTGGGGACCAGGATGTAAACGACCGCATTAAGCAAGTCTGTTTGTGTGGACAGATTACATTCCCGAGACACTATGTTATGGTGTAGGATCGTGATGCGAGCGACAGCGACGTGCAAGGGCCTGGAGAGTCCAGCTCAGAGAAGGCGGGGATGCAGGCGAGTTGTTTTCAATCAGAGCAATTAAACAAACTGTTCAGGTGCTGGCAGCGATAGGCTCGCCCGGTGAGGACAGTGAGATGTATTTCAGTTTCGTGCACAGGTTTCATTAATGCGAGGCTTCTAGATCTATTGCTCAGTCCCGTTTAGGATCTGCCCAGCGACTTCGACAGCCCGGTCCAGGATGAGTGGGTGAAAGAAACCATGCTGGACTGTCATGCAAACATGCAATATGTCAATATGGAACATACATGTTCAGATGATGTGGGTGCAGGATGACGATGAGGTGGACTTGGCGACTCCGTTTTGGAGCACCAGCGAGGACTGCATGCTGCACATGCACCTGCACTTTGAAAGTTCACGAATTTTTATTGTGTGTGAGGATGATGCCACGGATAAGCCACCTCGTGCCCATGATCCCAAGGATGACCCACCGGTTGAGGCAAATGTATCACTCTCGTACTGAAATTATACTCCGGATGGGATGCTCCAATTGCTTGAGGATATCTTTGCTGCCGCAAGCCCGTCCGGTTATGCAGCCAGTGCCGAAGAGGCCGATAGTTTCTGATCCATTTAAGCAAGTTAGCAGAATAGCAAGACAGCCTTTTGAAGGATGGAAGCTCACCCCTGGGAGATGAAGCAGTTGCCTCAGGGGGTCGTTATTGGCAATGCAACTTCTGTGCATTGAAACCTAAAGTCCCCAAACACAGTGATGCGAAAGAGGACTTGGAGTTGGACTCCATGCTCGGAGCCGACGGCCGCGACGATGAGGCTTTGCTATCGCGTGCATAAGCCCGGATCGGGCAGCCTTAAGTGTGTATGCGTGCCAGGACCTGACGCCTGTTGGGGTGCAGAAGAAGCCGACGAGAAAGAAAGGCCAGGCCAAGAGCAGGTTGCCGAAGAAGGTCAAGAAGGCCGGCTTCAACCGCAAAGGCGGCAGGCGCAAGAGGAATAAGGTGGCCAAGATCGCGAAGAAGGCCAAGGAGATGGAGGAGGCGGCAACCGAGCCGTGTCGCCACGGCTCCTACGACCTCAGGGCGCTTGGCATCCCGAAGGACGCGCTGCCCCAGGGGGACAAGGCAAACAAAGGAGCACACTCGTATACGGTGGCTTCGCCGGGAAACGAGTGTGCCGTGGAGGTGTTGCTGAGGAACCGCGCTTTCTACAGCAAGCGGCTTGCGACGGGTGCTCCGGGCCCCCGAGGACAGGTCGGGTGGGCTACTTTCCACGGCATCGAAGCCGCGTGGTCCGAAGTGAAGAAAAGGGTCGGATGGAATGATCAGTGATGACAGTTGCCGGTATGCTAGGAGTACGACATACGCTCATACTCCTATACTTTTACTCTTATATACTATACTAAATACAAAAACATTCCTGTATGTACACTGTATACTATATACTGTAGCTATATTTAATTTGTAATACTATACTATCTATCTACAAGAACACCTGCTATTGGTGCCATTGGGCCATGGAATATAGTCCTAATACAAAGTGAGACTTAATTGTATGCATATACTGTTTTATATACTAATGAACCTGAAATACTGTACTATACTATCTACTAATAGTACGTAAGGAGAGGTTTGTATGTATACTGTACTGTTCCCTAATGCTGTGCTATACTGAACTTGTAATACTGTACTACTATCCACACGATACACACCTCCTACTCATGGTACCATAGAAACAAGCAGCAATGCAAAGAGAGATCATGCCATCCGGCAATGCGAGCACTCGGGCTTTATAAGCTGTGTTGGAGATGCAGCGAGCCGCAAATTTTGCACACAGTTCTTTTGATTTTGCCCTCGGCAATGCTGCCGAACGGAGTGTGGCTTAAAACACGAGGGGTGGCTGACTTTCAGCAGAGCGAAGCCACGCTGAAAAATAAAGTCCCATCAGTTGCTGTATGTCGTGATCACGGGCAACAGCACATGAGCATTGCCTGCACCCAGCACATGAGCATTGCCCGCACGCAGGCATCCCCCATGATGATATATTCCGATGTGGGCCGATCATGATGTGGAAGGACCGACGCAGGGGTTCAGGGCTAGCACGCAACTGTGTTTGCGAGTGTGTCTGTCTGCTTGCATGAGAGTCATCGACTGTGTTTGCGAGTGTGTCTGTCTGCTTGCATGAGAGTCATCGAACTTGTGTGCAGGCTCATAGTGTCTATTGCAATGGTATGTGGATGCCGAACAGATGCTGCCACACATCCAGCCCATACAAACATGATATACAAGTATGCTAACATGTTTCGTCTAGATATAAGAAAACCATGTTCCATGACATGTGCAGTCTGTGCTAAGTTGTCGCAGCATGCAATGAAGCAGCGTCGTCGCAAAGACAAAAGAAAGCTGCGTGTGCAGCGACCCCCGCCGAAGACCGGGCGACTTTTGCAGCAAATGTATGTGCTGTATGGTTTGGCACAGATCGGTGTGCCACTGGAGCTTTGGCTGGCATATATTGGTTGCATCATGAGCATGTGATACCCTTCCCGCGATGCCACAAACTTTTATGAGTGTCAAGGTTATCTTCAAACTGGTGGCTATGGTCACACGGATCGAGAACCTGCCTTGGGAAACTTCCTTGCAGCACTTCGAGACATTTGCTGGGCGCAAAGCTGTTACCCTAGCTGAGATTCGAGCCGCCTGTTTGCAGAATAGTTCAATGCTTGCATTCTTGCCCCGGCAACCCTCCCAAAAGCCCCTTCCCTGCAAGTTGCTCCCAGGCTGGGCGGCGTGCGGTTGCACACGATGTGAGCTACAACGAACGCACGATGGACATTCTCAGCTCCCTCGGCTTCTGCATTGCAGTGTTTGAGTGCTTGAGACTGGTGCCGGGCAGTGGAATGCTGACCGCACCAGTTTGCTCATCATGGATATTTATGTAGGACACTGAGTTGCTGATGTGGAACACACATATGATGTGGGTTTTCTGTGTGCTTGCATATTGACCTCTGCTGTGGTTCTCTTATGATTTGAGGTCCCAATCGAAAACCCAACGACGTCCGGGTGATGTGATTGGAGACGAATCTGTCAGCTCTGTGAGAGCTGCAAACCGCATGATTTGGCGGGTTGTTGCACTCCTGCTGATCTGCTCCTCTAAGGGAGTGTGGTGGATATTGGAACAACCAGAAAGATCGCTGATGGAACATCACCCGGCCATGCAGTTGCTCTTCGGCCTGGTGAAATGCCATCGTGTATCTGTGAACATGGAGGATTTTGGCGCGAAATCCAAGAAACCAACATGGTTGTACTCCAGTGCCTTGACCGCACATATACACTCAGATTGGTGATTGGTGCATGGAATGTCTGTCAGTCGGTGGTGCATATTTGTTGCCTCTGAGATCGACAGATACTGGGAGATCTTGCGAAGTTCAAGCCACCTGTGGATGAGTTGCCGACAGATGAGGAGAAGAGGGGATGGGAGATGTCGGTGCGCTACACGGACGAGTTTGGGAACAAACGAGTCAACGGCGGTAAGCACCTGAAGGCCTCGCAAGCGTACCCAAGGCAGTGGGGCTCTGAGGTACGCTGTTTCGACATGACATACACGAAGGGTCGCCGCCCGAACCCTTACAATAATGTTTCCCAATAAGGTTCGGCATTGCATTGGCATCCTTGCGGACCCAGCACGAGAAACACGTCAAGGAGCAGGCTTGGGCAGATCTGCGTGATGCTATGAAGCGGCCTTTGAAGGTGCCTGTGGATTCTAAAGTTTCCAGGAGATGGGCACATGGTGCCCATTTCGACAAAGTTTTTGCATTCCTGCGACAACAGCAGTAGCTGCAATACTTGTACATCCTTAATTGCTACGCAGCATGCAGCGCGAGCTCTGTGTGCAGTTCCATGCAAGCAGTATGGTCGGGGTGCGCCAACCGGAAAATGTTGCACTGAAAGGTTTCTGCATGCATGCCTGGTGATGTGCCTGTATATAGCTGTGGGTATCGAATAGATAATAGAACATGGTGCCTTGCTACGCAGGACTATGCCGCGGTTTACATTGAATCAAGGCCGTCTGCGATTGGCTGAATGCAAAGCTGCAGATCAAGGCAGCGTGCTGGGTGCATTGGGTGCCATGTATGTCACACAGACAGTCTCAGTATGCTCTTCTGTGCACGCATGGAATGGTTATACATGAGAGTAAAGGGAATGCTGGGAGGGGACAGCATGAGAGGCAAAGGGGGGGGGAGGAGAGAAGAGAGAGGAGAGAGGAAACGGGCAGGGGACCCAGGAGAAAGGACACGGGAGAGCGCAGATCGACAGAGACGGAACAGGAGAGCTACACAGAGGGATGGGAACGGAAAACAACGAAACGGAAACGAAACACAGCCAACAAAAATGGTTGCAACACCGGCAAAGTCAATGCCGTGATTTGGCGTGACCGCTAGCGTGATTTGGCGTGGAATGCCGTGATTTGTATTTGCCACCCTGAAACCACACCGAAGCAACCCCGAACGGCCACAACTCGACCCATGAACCGCGATTTCGGCCAACATTATAGCTCCTAGGAGCGTGATTTGTAGCAACCGCTGCCGTGATTTGTAGCAGCCGCTGACAAAATTTTATCAACCAGCCGCGATTGTAGCAACCGCTGCCGTGATTCCTAGCAACTGCTGCCGTGATTTGTAGCAACCGCTGCCGTGATTTGTAGCAACCGCTGCCGTGATTATAGCAACCGCTGCCGTGATTTGTTGAGCAACCGCTGCCGTGATTATAGCAACCGCTGCCGTGATTTGTTGAGCAACCGCTGCCGTGATTTGTAGCAGCCGCTGCCGTGATTTGTAGCAACCGCTGCCGTGATTTGTTGAGAAACCGCTGCCGTGATTTGTAGCAGCCGATGCCGTGATTTGTGCTGCCGTGATTTGTAGCAGTTATAAGCATATACATATATATAGTTATAATTTTATAACATTATCATTGAATATTATGTATATAATGTATGTATATATATATATACATACTGCTGTATTATGCTTATATGTAGTATAGGAAGTGTATGAGTCTATATCTATATATACAGATATATGTAACAAAAAAAGTTGTGATTGCATAATTGTAGATGTACTGATATTAGAAAGCAAAATACAGTATATGTATAATTCAATTGGGGCTGCCTGATTTGCCTGCATGCACTGGAAGCAAACCTAATAACATGTGTAATATGCACACATGGAAGCTATAGCATGTATAAAAGTAGAGTATCACGGTCTGTGCATATTATCCATGCATTATATACATATGCCATGTGCGTGCTGTTTCTATATCACGCATACGTATGCATGTCTGTCTCTCTGTCTCTATATGTACCATCACAGCCCATGCCCAGCCCAGCCGTCCCGCCCAGCCGTCCCGCCCAGCGCTGCTGTCTGTTTCGGTCTGCCTGTCTGTCTGTCCATCGTTTGCAAAGGTGCGAGTGAGATGCAGTGAGATTGTGGGAGAGGGCCTGCAGCAGGAATGCATTCGTTCTGTGCATGTTGAAGCAACACTCATGTCCTTAAGCATTTGGCTTGGAACTTTTTTTCAAGTGTGCTGCAGTGCTGCAGCCATGGGAAAAGACGTCACCCACCGTGTTTCTACGAAACGCCAGCAATCAAAAGATGCAGCAAGCGAGCCGGCAAAAAAGCCTCGGGTCTCTACTGGTTCTGGGAGCCACAAAAGCTCAGAGAAGGCAAAGAGGCAAGCCGAGCCATCCGATCGAGAAGTGGCTCGGCATCAAAAGTTGCTGAAAGCAGCAGCGGCGGCGTCTTCTGTGCCACCGAAAGACCAGGAGAATAAGAAGAAGCCGAAGAAGGAAAGCAAGGGAGAGATAGAAGCCCAAGACCAGAAGCCAAGAAAAGAGGATAAGACAGACAAAGAGAAGAAGGAGAGCAGGGAAAAGAAGGCAGGCACGACGCAGCAGGAGAAGCAAGTCAAAGAGAAGAAGGAGGGCAGAGAGAGCAGAGATGCAAAAGACAAGAAGGACAAGCAAGACCCCGCGCCAGCGAAGGCGAAGGGACCTGAACCGGCCAAACCCCAGCAAGGCCCAGGCCAGGGAGCACAGCAACAGAAGAAGGAAAGCAAAGACCACAAGGGAAACAAAGACCAGAAGGAAAGCAAAGACCAGAAGGAAAGCAAAGACCAGAAGGAAAGCAAAGACCAGAAGGAAAGCAAAGACAAGAAAGAAGCCAAAGACAAGAAGGAAGCCAAAGACAAGAAAGAAGCCAAAGACAAGAAGGAAGCCAAAGACAAGAAAGAAGCCAAAGACAAGAAGGAAGCCAAAGACAAGAAGGAAGCCAAAGACAAGAAGGAAGCCCAGGACAAGAAGGAAGCCAAACACAAGAAAGCCCGCGTGTCCGAGGAGGTGGGTGCAGTTTCCTTTGTTGTGCAAAGCACTTCCGCAGAGCGTGACGCATGTGTTATGGTGCATGATGACTTTGAAGCATTCTGTGTCTAGGACGGAGAGTCCGAGAATGATTTTGATCAAGTGGCGCTGATCGAGGCACAGATAGCAGCCGAGGAACTTGCTGCATGCTCCCCAATGGCTTCAGAAGGTTCCGCGGATTTCGGTGACCAGGATGATGATGATGATGATGGACAGGAGGAATCGGAGGAGGCAGGGGAGCCGGAGGCATCTCCGAATGTCGCTGAATGTGAAGCCGAAGCCGAGGAGGAAATCCTGCCGTCGCAAGAGTGCCACCTGAATGAAGAAGACATGCCAAGCGGTTCCTCATCTGAGGAAGGATCCGAGGACCCCGACGGGGAGCCCTTGTCTGGAGATGATGACGAACCGACCCCCGACCCAGCTTCCTTGAGGGAGGCCACGGAGAAGGAGGAGGAAGTAGTGCGGAACAGCTCCCCAGATGAAATGTCGTTTGATGTCTTGTGCAACTTGAAACTATAGGGGGCTATGTGTATAGTGACAGTGTGTCTTTTGTGCTTCTAAGGTACGACGCACAAAAAGGAATGGGCCGTGTTTGATCGGGCGATCAAGAATCGCCAGAAGTTCCCCGTCAGCCTGAGTTCCTACGCAAGCAAATCCAAGACGGATTTGTTTGGTGCCTGGCTCGATTGCAACGGCAATTGGGATGAGCTACTTGGCTGAAGCTATGGCGCGTTTGTGCATTTGCACCTTTTGCCTTCTTGCTGTTGTCCGACTCCAGACGTGATTTGTGATGGTTGCCGCCCAGGGTGAAGCTTATCATGGAACGAAAACATGAAAGGAAGAATCTCAACCGACAGGATGTTGTTGCCATCCAGGGGAAAGACTTGAAGGCTAAGTACACCGACGAGGCACCGTCGGTCTGTGTGCATGCTTCTTTACATATCGTGTGTGCTTGCCAGGCCATGTACAAGCAAGTAATTGCCGCAAGAAAAGCCGAAGGACGTTGGTACAAAGACAAAGACTTCCCGGACAAAGAGGATGTGTCTAGGTTGCGGTCAGTGTGGCAGAAGGGTTTTTGCTGGATATGAATTGGCTTTCTGAGGAAGCTTGGTATTATATGCCGAAGGGCCACCTGCTGCGGCTTGACAACAGCACAAGCGAGTCTCAGACCCTCCGGGTGGATCAAGCGATGGATGAAGATTTGGCAAAGGTTCTCGAAGAGGGCAATGTGCTTCAGGCAGGCAGTATGCCTGCTGTGCATGCAGCCTCCGAGGCTGGTGAGAAGGCTCTCCTGAGCCTCTTCGACGAGGCGGGAGGGATGCAGAAGCGCATCCCAAAACCGAGGAAGGACAATAAGGAAGAACCCGAGGAGATGAAGCCCAAGACCCTGAAAGAGCTTCTTGATTGCATTCAAGAATTCAATCTTTATAAAGGCTGCATGTGGTATCCGTGGTTGATAGTCAATTGTTCCAAGGCAGGTGGCGGAAAAGGAAACCGAGATCCTGAAGGATTCCACGGAGGCTCGCAAAACCTCCATCACCCTGACCAAGCTGAACTACGGCGGCCAGCTATCGGAGCAGCTGCTCAAATTTTCGAAGCAGATGGAGTCTGCCTACAAGAAGATGTGTCAGCTGGACAAAGACGGAAACACAAAAGCCTTGAGGAAAGTTATCAAGTGGGTGGATCAGAAGAAGCCATGGTTCAAGCAAGCCCAGGCACAATGATATGATGTTGGATGCAAACTAGCATGTAGATACATTGGGCATGTGCTTGGATTCGTTGCTTACACGCAGGCAGCAGCAAACGGCCTGCAGTCTGGATTGAAATCCAAAAAAAAGGCTGCAGCAAAGAAGGCGGCCGCCAAGAGTTCCGCAAAAGCGGACTGATGCGGCTTGAAGATGCGCTGCACAATGTGTGACGAGTCGGGACGAAAGCATTCTGACGTGGGATAGAGCTTGCCACACGGCGACCCCTCACAGGGACATGCGTGCACACTTGAGGATTTGTGTGTGTGTTTTGTTTAACCCAGCATACACACACATGCTGTGTAAAGTACCGAAGTTTGGGAGAATGATTCTGAGAGAAGTGTGCCATGCGTGTCACCGAATGCCTTGGGAAACTCATTTTGCCAAGATGTGCAGATGGTTTTGCAGAAGTGCATAGGGCTCTGTGGAAAGACTGTGGTGCTGGCTCTTTGCATGTGCGGCAGTCGGCTTTGCTTAGGGATCCTGATGTTGTTTCTGCTTTGTTGATTGCAGGCGTGGCTGGTGATGACCTATCCAAGCCGAGGTTTGGTCGTTGTGATCGTCGTGTGCTTATAGCTTGTACAGCTACAATGTTGCTGTCGTGTCGTTTCGCAGGCCCAAATCTTTTCGTCGGAGAGAAGACTATGCTGCGATGCCACATTCTCACGCAGCAGAAGAGCTTCTGGAAATGATTGGTAGTGGGAAGAGCCATGTGGCTCATGCGCAAAGTTTGGCAGTTGCAATGGTTCGTGATGGAATACCCCAAGAAGCCGTGACTGCTTTTGCAAGTTTGGGCTCCTTCGGTGCCCATGAGTCGAATGCTGAGCGAGACCTACATAGGTGGCTTCGAGGCTTGTACGGGGTGACTTTGGAACCATACTTCATAGATGTCATGCTTGAAAAAGACGATGCCGATATTGATGACATTGGTGAACAGGAAGATAACCCTTTGAAGGGGACGGCATCCACGCGGATACCTGTGCTCCTACCACACGAGGTCTTCTCTGCGATTCACTCTTCAAGCGACCATCAGGTTTCAGTGGGGGCCAAATAAAGACAGACGTGGTGTGTTTTCCGAAAGAAAGGGCAAGAGAGCGAGGACGAGAAAGACAAGCAGCAAGAGCATGCTGTTGGTTACATGTGCTTCCACGTATGTGTGCACGTGAGTATAAGTAAGTGTGTGTGTGTGTGTGCGCGTTTTCACTGGTATGTCATGCTGTATAAATGTCTCCTTGTTCCCTGCCAGTTTGGTTTGAGTATGCTGGGGCGACACTCGCCGGCTGCGATCAAGCAATTTTGGCGGCATTTGCAACGATATGTGCCGGAAGAAGTGAAGGATCATCCGGCATTGGCCGGCTGCGATCTAAGCGAGATGATACAGTTGCTGATTCACTTTGATGGTGCAGAGATGTACAAGAACTCCGAATACAACATTTGGTCGTTTTCGAGTGCATTGTCCTCATTGCTGGATGTGGATTGCCTTGAAACGCAGTTCGTGTGCTGCATCCTCCCGCAAAAAGCTATGCAACAGAAGCAGGCCTGTGTTGGATTTGCTGGTTTTTGTGCGCATGCTAATATACTGAACTCGAACGCACAGAAAGCAAATCGCCTACTCGAAGGTCAAGAACTACGTGCACAAGGAAATCGCGAGGCTGATGAGCTGGTCTTTCAAAGTCCTTCAAAGCGGAAAGTTTCCATCGACTGGCTTCTATGGTGAAGAGTTTCCTTCTACGTCGTGCCGTGCGAAAAGAAGTGGCACGGCGCTGGCTGGTGAATGGAAGATTCTTGGGTTGCAGCTGTGTGTGTGTGTATGTGTGGCTCTGTGTGTGTGGGCATGCACTTGGGGGCCGCTCTCTCTCTCTCTCTCTCTCTCTCTCTCTCTCTCTCTCTCTCTCTTCTCTTCTATCTTTCTTTCTTTCTTTCCCCAGGCTTGAGGGCGTGCCTTTATCTTTCTCTCTCTCTCTCTCTCTCTCTCTCTCTCTCTCTCTCTCTCTCTCTTTCTCTTTATCTTTCTCTCTCTCTCTCTCTCTCTCTCGCTCTCTCACTCTCTCTTTCTCTCTGATGGTCCGAGGGCGTGCTTCTATGGATTTCGTGGAGATCAGAAAGCCCGGCGGGAGTGTCACTATTTCTCTCGCCACTACAACTGTATCCAGCTGTGCGACCGATGTTGTGCGAAGACGCCGACAGAGAAACACATGGATGATATGAACTTCAAGAACTTTTCGGCGAATGCTCCCTTTCTTTTGACGGCTATTGATCACAACATGTACCTCAACACAACTCCTTCAGCCGAACTTTCACCCTGGACGGCAATGCCAGGATGGAAGATTGAAAATACTTTCTTTGACTGGATGCACATTGTGTTGCTGGGGATTGCAAGAGATGTGGTTGCTGCCGCTATCAAGCTGATGGCAATGCGGGGTGTGATTTCCATGACGAATTTGCGCCTAGAGCTCAAGAGCCTTACAGCCTGGATCAAGAAGGAGCGCAAGAGCGAGACTGGGCCGCCCGGGGGGGGGTGAACAAACTTTGTTCTAAGCTTATTATGTGTTCTGTTATTTCAATAGTTCATAACTTCCCGCCTGAAGGGTTTCCTGCTCTTTGCCTGCAATGACACCTGCGAACACGGGCTTGGAGTCCTGGAGTGAATATCCGGAAATGGGGAGCAGCTTCAAAGCTGCACAGATGAAGGTCATGGTGTGGGGCATGGCAAGGAAGCTTCAGATGGTGTTGCAGAATGTTCAGGACCTTCATATATCGGGCAAGCATCATGTCATCAATTTCCGTATTTCTAGATATTTGTACCCTCCCCCTAGGTTCCTCGCCTCTCTCCCTCTCTCTCTCTCTCTCTCTCTCTCTCTCTCCTGTCCGCTTCGTCTCTCACTGCACGAGGATGAGGAGCTGCTGCAGATGGCAGTTGTGGTACGAGCCCTCAATAAGGCCCAACGATTGTTGGACCACTCCGACTTATTGATGACCGAGCAGGATTCTACAAGGTTCAACGAGCTGGTTCAATTGCATCTGCGGACGTGGCAGCGGCTGGCTTTGAAGTTTGAGGCCTTGGGCATCGCTTTGTGCAAAATCCGTCCCAAACACCATTATCTTCAACACATTGGTCTGTATGTGGCATCGACGCGAGTGAACGTGCGTATACATCAAAACTTCAATTCAGAATCGTACATGGGGAAGATGAAAAAGATCGCTGTTAAGTGCCATTCGATTTCGATGATGCTGCGTGTACAACAGCGCTATGTGCTGTACCTGGCTTTGTCATGGGAGCGAGCAAAAAGAGCATCTACTGGAGCCGGTGCTGCACTGACTGGAAAGGAGACTCTGGAAGAGCTGTTGCTGTGCGACGACAGACCTTTAAGCAGCTCTAGCGCTGAATATGCAAAGAGACGATGCATCATGGGCATTAAATGACGAAGTGACGGCTCGGATCCTCGCGCAAAAGCTTTCGAATGCGGTTTACGCGAAGATTCGGGATTGCATGGGTTACCTCATATAGGATTCAGGGTACAGCTTTCCAGGGTGTGCAAAGCTGGTCCTGATGAGATTGGGGGTTCGGGATTTTCGGGTCGGGTTTTGAGATAGCCGGCCGGGCCCAAAACGAATGCCCCAAAAGCCCTCAACCCGAAACCCTCAAGCCCATGAGAAGCTTTCGTATGAAGCAAAGCAATCCCAAGAACGTTCTGTGATGCAACATCTCCCATATGACCCTCTCATTTCCCAACGTTGTCACATTTGAGGCACAAGAGAATGCGCCATCATATTGGCTTAAAATTAAGAATATACTATCATATAACCCGCATAAAGAAATCCCTAAGTTTCGTGATATACACACACATATGAATGATTGTATGTGTGCACATATACAATATATAGCACCCTACAAACCTTAATGAGTTTGGCTCGAATGTTGGCTCAAGTCACCCTATGGAAAACCGAGTTTGCAAGCTCGGTTTTCTATTGGGTGACATGGCTCAATTGTTGCAAGTGTTAATACAATCGGCTCGAATGCACACGTTGTTGGCCATATTGCGGCAGCAAACGCCATCAGCGCAAGCATTTTTCGCATCAGCGCATGAACCAGTAAACGCCATCAGCGCAAGCATTTTTCGCATCAGCGCATGTGTGTACCATCTTACGATGCATGGGAAATAGAATCAACGTCACTTAAGTGTCACAACAAGTTTCTGATGAAAGCAGCTATAACCAGTAAACGCCATCAGCGCAAGCATTTTTCGCATCAGCGCAAGTGGCCAGTAAACGCCATCAGCGCAAGCATTTTTCGCATCAGCGCATCAAGTACCATCTCACGATGCATGGGAAATAGAATCAACGTCACTTAAGTGTCACAACAAGTTTCTGATGAAAGTAGCCATACCCAGTAAACGCCATCAGCGCAAGCATTTTTCGCATCAGCGCAATTGGCCAGTAAACGCCATCAGCGCAAGCATTTTTCGCATCAGCGCATCATATACCATCTTGCGATGCATGGGAAGAGAATCAACGTCACTTAAGTGTCAACAAGTTTCTGATGAAAGTAGCCATACCCAGCAGCGCAAGCATTTTTCGCATCAGCGCAATTGGCCAATAAACGCCATCAGCGCAGGCATTTTTCGCATCAGCGCATGTGTGCACCATCTTAGGATGCTGGGAAAAAGAATCAACGTCCGTTGTGTCACTGATGAAAGTATAGCCATATATAACCAGTGAACGCCATCAGCGCAAGCATTTTTCGCATCAGAGTCAAGTTGGCAAGTAAACGCCATCAGCGCAAGCGCTTTCGACATCAGCGCATGCACACTGATGCATAAGTAGCATCAACGCAAGCACATATATGGCTTGCGTATACGCAGCGTATAACCTATATACGCAGCGTATAACCTATATACGCAGCGTATACGCATATACGCAGCGTATACGCTACAAATCACGGCGCTGACTTTACGCTCGTGTATATTGTGTACGCTCGTGCGCAAAACACGCCTTTGGATCCTCACGGTATCCCATTGTGCGGCCTGTACCCACGCCCGCGCGTGCCCCCAGGATCCGCCTGCATGATTGCCTGGTACCGCATGGTAGTCATATAGTAACTGCTCCTCCTGAACAGGACACGGTGAGCTACGCACCTTGCTGTTGGACACCCTTCTTGAGCATTTTGAGACTATGCCTCCCAAACATGTGCTCAGCCTGCAAACACAGATATCTGACCAAGCTGTACCAAGAGTGCCCCCGATGAACAAAGAGGTCCTCTTCGGTGACACACCTCTTGGTTTTACATGGCAACACCTGTTCCAATTGCGCACAACCAAGGTGCAGCTCTTGCCTTGGCAAGATCTGGTGCGACATTCTGCCCTAAGGCAAGAAGCTGACTTGGCCAATCGTGTGACGCTTGCTATGCAACTTGCTGTGTCCGATGGGCATTGCGGCATTCTGTGCTTCACGGACGGCTCTTTTACGCCGGCCTCTCAGACTGTTGGCGCTTTTGCAGGATGGGCCTGCATCTTTGTCGATACGAAGTCTGGGCAGGTTGGTGCAGGTTTTGGGAGAGTGCCTGACTGGCTGCTCGGTGATAAAGAACAATTGTCTGCCTATACTGCAGAATGTTTTGCCCTCACGATCGCAGCAGTCGTTTCGTGGCTGGTCTTTCCCCGACTCCACGGTCACATTTTTCTCCGATTGCATATCAGCCCTGAGGGGCGCGGAGGGCAAATATGTTTGCCAGCCTGGAGGGTGTGCACAAACTATGAGTCATTCCTTCGATCTCCGGAGAGGCCTTTGCGTTGCTGGGGATATGTTTGTATATGTTCCCGGACATCAGGGCTGCTTCTTCAACGAGGTAGCAGACCGCTTCGCCAAGGCCGGCTCTCAAATCGAAGGGGTTGCTGACCTCCTCAGCCTCCCAGAAGAAAGCCTCTGTTTTTGGCTGGCATGTGCTCATCTGTGCTCTACCATGGGCGGTGACTGTACTCCGACAATTGAAAGGCGACATTGCCCTTCCACCTTCAGGCGCGTCCGATTTGGGTGATGATACCTGGCACCAGGGGCTCAGCTATGCCCAAATGCTCAAACCCTTTATGCCGGCCGACCTTGGTGAGGCTCACACAGGCGATTCTGTTGATCGGGTGATCTCCGAACTCGACCTTTGCATTGCCTCGTTTAACACACTCAGCCTAGGTGCTTGCATCGAAACCGATGCGGGAGTCGGAACGGGTGGACGAGGTTTGCATCAAACGCCAGCGAGGGCAGCCCTTTTAGCACGGCAGTTCAGCGAATGCGGCGTGGCAGTAGCCGCGCTCCAAGAAACACGATGCCCGCAAGGATTCTCTAAGATTGGGGGATTCCTTACATATTCCGGTGGTTCGGATAATGGCCACCACGGCACCGAGCTATGGTTTCGTGATGGCTGCTGCGTGCTTCGCTCATGCTCTGAAAGCGCAGCAGATGCTGTCTTTGCGGAAAAGCACTTCAGCATTCTCCATGCTGACCCGAGACGTGTCATTGCCAGATACAGCGCGGGCAAGCTTGTACTTGTTTTCTGCTCCCTACATGCCCCGCACAGGGCTACTGAGCGACAGATGCTTCTGTCTTGGTGGCAGGATACGAAGAAATTGTTGTCCCAACACCGCCGTAACGACCCTATTGTTATAGCTGGGGACATGAACTGTTCAATTGGCAGCGTCCCCTCTCCCCATGTAGCTGACGTAGGGCAGGAAGAAGAGGACACATCCGGTGAACTCTTTCACGACATCATTCGTGAAAATCAATGCTGGGTCCCGTGCACCTTTGAAGGGTGCCAGTGCCAGGACGGACCATCAGCAACATTCTTTCAGAAACGAAATGGGAAGCCTTGTCGGCCTGATCTCATTTCGATACCCCACTCCTGGCAGCTAGGTTGATCATGGTATTCAGGTCGCCAGCTCGGGGATTGACCATGTTGCCACTCTGCTGCGTAGCCGGGTGAAAATGAGCATGCCTTGCTCCAAGAAACATCAGAGGCGTGCTTGTCTCCCGCGCCACATGTTCACGGACCCGGCCTTGAAGGAGGACATTGCGCGCGTTTTGGCTTCGGTCCCACAGATACCATGGCACACGTCGGTGCATGCCCACGCCGCCATTGTGGTGCAGCACCTCCAACAGGGCCTCGCTGCTGCTGCACCTGCCAAACAATCTCGGCCACACCATGTATACCTTCAAGAGCCCACGTGGTCTCTACACAAGAAAGTCTCCGGCCTAAAGCGAAGTTTGAGTAGACTGCAGCAGCAAAGTCGGAACGCTGCCTTAGCCTTCTGCTTTTCCATCTGGGCCGGCTTCGGGTTCCATCACGAATGCACTCCATGGTCAGGAGCTTGGGCCGACCAGGCCTTGCTTCAGACGATATTGCATATGTATCGCATTCGGGTTGACAGCAAGGCTCTGCGCCTCGCCTGTAAGCAAGACAGAACTGCATATACCAATGATTTGGCCGAGCGTCTTGCAACCGGCCCTAACTCAGAGGTATACACGATGCACTAATTACACAAGTTGCTCAGGCACAAACGAAAAAAGGCGTATGCTCCTGAGCCTCTGCCACAGGTCAAAGATGTGCAGGGGAATGTATGTCCCGATGCCAATTCCGCCCTGCAACGTTGGCGGGACTATTTCGCTTCCATGGAAGCGGGTACCGCCATGGCTCCTGCCGAGCTTGGCCCCAGTCTGGATGTTGGTTCCATTGATTGGCCTGCTCCTCCTAAGGTCGGAGACCTGCCTACCAAGCCAGACCTTGTACGCCTTATGCTGACCTCTAAATGTGGCAAGGAACCTGGTATGGACGGTTTGCCAAATGAGCTCCTGAGAAGCTTTGCCTCGGACTGTGCTGAACTGCTCTTCCCGCTTCTCATGAAACTAGTCTTTCGGGGACAAGAGGCCATGGGAATGAAAGGCGGTATGGCGGTCTGGTTTCACAAGGGGCGTGGCGCTAAGGATCTTTGCGAATCATACCGGCAAATCATCCTGCTGCCTTGTTTCGCCAAAATACTTCACCAAGCCGTACGCCCGGCTATACGTGAGCTGTATGTGCATCAGACTCCGTCCTTGCAACTAGGAGGCAAACCCGGCCAGTCCGTGTGTTTTGGGGCTCACTTGGTAAGATCCTTTTTGCGATACAATTGGGAACGCAAACAGAGCTGTTCCGTGCTGTTTTCTGACATAGCATCCGCCTTCTATGCTGTGGTACGCCAGCTCGTTGCTGCTCCCCGACCCGAAGACTCAGAAGCTCCTGATATCCCCGACGCCGTCTGTCGCGGAGTGGGTATCTCCGAAGACGAGCTTTCCGCTCTCCGGCAACATGTGCGGGAACACACGGGGCTCCACCGGGCTGGTGCGAGCCCTTGGTTGAAAGCTCTCTGTCAGCAGCTTTCCGATAGATCCTGGTTCATGTTACGGGATGACTCTCTTGGCGGACATTATGTTCGGAATGCTGATTGGGAGAGTTCTCAAGGAACGTGACGCCCTTGAAGGCCTCGCTGCCTGCTCTGCCGCAGAGGTCCCCAGGCTGCCATGGGATGGCCAAACAGTTCTTTCTGCGTGCCCCGAGCAGAGTGACACGATCCCACTTGGGGATCTCATCTGGGCTGATGACACAGCCACCATGCGTCTTGGCAGAGCCAACCCACGTCTCGACTCTGCCATTGCTTCCTGCGTCGGCAGCATTTGCGACGCTTTTGCCAATTTTGGATTCCGCATGTCCTTTGGACCCAACAAGACCGCAGTCTTAGCGCAGGCTGCTGGGGCTGGATCCCCCAACACACGACGGGCCCTTTTTGGGCCTACTGGGCATAAGGGCACTATCCAAGCCTTGCGCGAATCCTCCTCTCCCGTAGGGGTGCCTCTGGTAGCTACCTATAGACACCTGGGGGTCTTCCATGCTTCCAGAGGTAGCATGCTCACTGAGCTCCGATACCGAGCTGCTCAGGCTTGGGTCGCTTTTTCTGAAGGGAGGCGCAAAATCTACAAGACTAAGGGGTGCCCATCAGCCGTAGAGCCTTCATTCTTCGAGCATCCGTCCTTCCCAAACTGCTATACGGATGCGGTTCCTGGCCTCCCTTGCGAAAACAAGAGCTTCAGATTTTCGGAGGGACACTTTGGTCCCTGTATAGGGCAATATGCGGTATTCCCGCGGACGGGAACCAACACTTTCACGCCAGCACAATTCTTGCGCTGACCGGGCTTCCGGGACCTACCGATCTGTTGCATGTGCAGCGGCTGATGTATCTCCGCCTCTTGGTCACTGCCGGTCCGGATGAGTTATGGGCTGTCATACGAGCAGATACTGCCTACTTATCTGCATTGCGAGGGTCCTTAGAGTGGATTTTCTCCTGGACACACCGGACATGCACCTTGCAACATCCGCTTGATGACTGGCAGCAGTGGTGTGTTTTCATGCGCGAGCAACCCGGGAGGTACAAGGGGCTTCTTTTGCGAGCCCAAGCCCTAGCGAACTGTAGGCAGCGTGTCATTGCCGCACTCGACGGGCTCTATCGGGCACTCCGCGCTCAGGCACCTGTGGCTGCACCGGAGTGCACTCAGGGAGGCACCATGCCCGAAGCCTGTATTCCGTGTGCTAAACTTTTCCCTTCGCGTGTTGCATGGGCGGGTCACGCAGCGAGAGTTCATGGATACAGATCTCGAGCATTTCTCTTAGGTCGTTCCCCTCTGTGTCTGGCATGTGGCCGGACCTATGGAACGGTGGGCCGGCTGCGTCGTCATCTGTTATGCAGCGCACGATGCATCCCCAACTGGGGATCCTTTTCACCTGCTGAAAACACAGGCGACCTCCTTGCTTGCAATCACCCACAAATGCCTCCTTTCTCAGTACCTGGCTCCTTTGCCACGCCGGAAACTTCTATGAACCGTGAGGACTTCTCCTCTGTGCTCTTGACAGAGCTCAATGCCCTGCCTGTGTGCGATGAGTCTGTTGTGTGGGACACTGTGATTGAGGTCATAGAACCTCTCCAGACCCTCAGAACTACTGTCCAGCGCTGGGCTGACGATCATCCTGGAGTCGAGTGGATCCATCGTGCAGCCGACAATGTTTTGTTGCTGCTGGATCCGGATTTGATCGGTGAGCCGAGCAACACCTCCCGTGTGAAAGTCGAACGGCAAGCCTTTGCCAACGATGCCTGCCCTACTTGGGCTTCGCTACCACCTTTCAACCTGCCGGCTTCCAAGGCTGGACCCGGCTTTGACTTGCAGTCCCCGCCACCTGTCATCATTTCACATTTTGCTCCTACCAGTGTAAGCCTTCGTCTTGGGCTGGCGTACAGTACCTGGCTGGAGCAGGCGTGCTCGATCTTGGCCCAAGGCTTTGAGCTTGCCATTCAAGAGGGTTGTGGATTTCAGGTGCACTGTGAAGGCCTTGCACTAGGACTCGGACCGGCCAAAGACTGGCTGGTAGCCGCAGGCTTCACGTTTTGCAAGTCAGGACTTCGGTCGTCTTTTCCCGTTTCACTTGAATTCAATTGCTAGGCGAGCGTCGACAGCGACACTACCGCAGAGAATGGAAATGGAAAAATGGTTCTCATCTCTCCACCCTAGAAGTCAATTATATCTTCTTGCGCTGCTTTCCTTTGCTCTATTCTGTGGTGCACAGCCGCCGCAATTCAATTCGCCGTGTGAACCCGCTGAAAAGCAAAGGAAGCCGGATGCAAGAGCGCATGCGGTGGGCGGTTTCCGGGATTCCGAACCGGATTGCATGTGATTGCATGACATGAGATACATGAGTTTACGACACCCATGTAGACCCCCCACACCAGCAGGGCACAGAGCCCCGGCACATGCACGACACTAAGGGCAGCGAGGACGGAAGCTGACGAGCCAAAGCTTGCTCCGGTCCAAACCTTGAGATGTCTCGCAGCTTCCCGCTCAGCTCGTTCCCTGTCGCGTCGGGAAGAGAGACGCTCATCGGCTTCAATCGTCGAGTCGTGTAAGGGGCCGGCGCACGCTTTCGATTCCTGGCGCTGCCACTTTGGGCGCTGGGCAGCAGAGAGGAATGTCGCTGTAAGAGACCCGCGCTGGGCCCCGCCCCCCGGGGCCTCTCCAGGCGCTCGAGGAGCTCCTGCTCTTCTCTCCTGGCTTCCTCCTGTCACACCACATCTTCACACTTCACACGTCTTCATACCTTCACATCTTCGCTATCTCAAAGCTCCTCGAAGGAAGCCCAGCGCTCAGCAGCCTTGCAGCGCTGCTCGGCTGCCTCGTCGTCTAGCTGTGCGAGTTTCTGGTCTTTCTCGCAGAGTCTCCTGAAGCAAAGGCACTCGCCGCTGTGGGTGTTTCTCTGCGGGCCCCGTTTGCTCCCCATTGCCTGCTTCGAAGCTCCAGTAGGCACGCCTCTTCACGCCGGAACGTCTGCATGCGCTCGGCGACCTGGGCATGTACCCTGGCCGCCCTGGCCATGCCGGCACCCGGCTGCGGCAACAAATAGATACCATGGAGAACAGCCTGTCGAACGTGCCGAAGCTCATCTAACCTGGCCAGCCGGAGGGTGCACGACAGAAGTGCTCTGAATCTGAAGCTACCCACCACTTGACACAGGCTTCGAAGCTGTTTGAGAGAAGCGAGCCAGGTCATCACGGCAAAGAGCTGCACCGCTGCGGCGCGAGGCGGCAGTGCGCGCATCTCGTGCTCAAGGCATGCGGACTCCTGCTCTCAAAATCTTGCCCAGCTCCAGCCCAGCTCAGCTTGTGTCACAATGTCCTGCTCCAGGCTCAGCGTTGCTTGCTCGGCCTGCCTCGGAGAAAAGCAGTGGATTGTGAATTTGTTGTGGACCGTGGTGCTGCGCAAGCGCGATCGTCCCGTCTCGTGCCTGAATTTGTCTTGCTCTACTTCCACGCGCGTGGACCTGGCCGGCAGCAGCATGCCAAAACCCGGGGCTTCGTGAATGCATGCGACTCCGGCAAAGGCTCAGGACCACTCCATTGCTGTTCGATGTCTGCTTCTCTTGCCGAAGCGGCCTGGCTCCCACAGACCGCGCAAACACTGCACACGACGTGCCCAACCAGCCTTCTCAGCCTGTCTCACCGCTTCGGCTACAAGACTGCGAACATCAGCCTGCATACGTGCCTGGGCTGTTGAGCAATGGGAAGGCAGATCACAAGTCGCCAGCTCGAGACACACCCCACAGCGCACAGCTCGAAAGAGCAAGCATCCATAGTTGTGAGAACACGCGCTCAGGGCAGAGGGCAATGAGAAAACGACTCCTTTGCCTAGCCACCAACTCCTCAGCCAGGATAAGCACCTGATTTTGCCGGCGATTTACCTGCAACAGCGAAAAAACGAGGAGAAGGCGCCGGCGCAGCACTAACACGGCACTGGGGTCATCTCGGGGTCCTGCGTCTACCTACTTTGGTCATCAGAACCCTGCGATGCGATTTCTGCATCTTCCTGTGGAGGTCACCTGAGTCTACCATTTTGCCCAGATAGTTCATCATCATGTCTCAAACACGACCCCTCATTAGGCGACGGCAATTGATCCCAGTCTTAAGCTCGCCCCCCCCCCCATAAGACTCCCCTTACTTAAACTCGCCGACGACCCAGACAAAGGCGACCACGACCCACTGACACGACCACCACGACCGTCAACAACACTGAGTGCCCGAAGAGACCAGGCGGTTTGCAGCTGTTGAAGCCAAAATGCGCGACAGTGGCCGAGTCGCACCGCAAAATATTGAGGATTCATCGGGATTGTGACGGAGCATGTATTTGGGAGGCGCAAGAACATCGCACCTCAAACTATGTACAGGACAAGTGCACTTTGCCACATGCATGTCGGGGAGGCGGACACGGGAAGACGATGCCGACAACACGCAACATCCATCGCCAACACGACGACCGCTTAAACGACCACAACGACGAAAAGAGGAAGACGAGCACCAACGAGCATTGCATGCATCCAGAATCTAGCCCCAACCTCCTTCTTCAAGGATACCACATCCACTTTGGCCTGCGATGGAGTCACTGCCGAGTGCTCAAGAAGCAAAAGCCCAGGGCCTCGCGCTGAGCCTTCCGTTCCTAAGGTCATGTCGGCCGAGATGCAGAGAGGAACAGGAAACGGATCCGGCCTGTCGCTGCTTGTCGGCAGCTAGCTGCAGCTGCAACGCCTCCCGCAGACACACTAAGAGACACATTACCACATTACTTCTTTCACTCCGCTGCAGCCTCTGCTCGAAGTTGGGCCACCTCGGCAAAAACGAAGACGCAGGGAGTTCCCAGCCCAGCAGCACAAACCTCGTCCTCCACCAAGGAGGCTTTGCGGTGGGCCACCTCCTGCCCCGGCACACATAGATGGTACTGGCAGCAGGTGAAGTTGGGGGCCTGCTTCTGCTGCTCGTCGCGTACTTTCCGCCGCAACTCGGCCGCCCGTGTTTGAAGGGCCTCCGGCCAAAAAACATTGCAGTGTTGCACTCTGCTCGCTTTTCCCCTCCCGGCCTCGCAGAAGTCCGACAAGCAGGCCATGCCTGGCTACGCCGCAACATCCCTGGCAAGACTTGGAGCCAGCTGCGACCTGGCCTGTTGAGAGCCAAGCATGCCATAACAGCTTGAAGGAAGTGCTTGAAGCATCTTTTGACTCTCGCAGAGGGTTGGTCTTTGTTGGCCTGAGGCCGAAAGTCGCGCCCAGGGGCACAGAGTGCCCGCCTGGCTAATCGCCAAGAGACCAGGAAGCTTTGTCCTCAAATTGCAACAAAGTCAAATCCAGCGCACTGCGTACCTAGAAGCTCCTTCTTGCGGATCTTCTTCTTGGCGCTCTTTTGGCCCATTCCTGCCTGCATGCTAGGGTCATCACATGGCATTCGGCTATTCCTTGCAACGAGCTGCGCAACAACCGCAAGCCTCTTCCATCTTCATGTTCACATAATACCTGACAGACACTTCGCGAGCCGCTTGCTGCACTCATCACACCTGGCTTTCCACGTCATGCCGGTCTGAGACAAGGACACGTATCCGGCAACCGCAGCCACAAACACGATCACAAAAAACAGGATCGTGAACGTAGTGCCATCCATCATACCTGCCGACATGCTGCATGCCGATTCGTGCGTTGAATGCTGAATGTTGGCTCAGCCTTCATCAAGAAGGCCGCTTCCTGCCCGTTAGCTGGCATGTACATCTAAAGTCTAGAGCCGCAGACACCCGCAGAGGGCTTCGCGATGCCACATCCAAGGCAAGCATTGCAGCTTCTCAAGTTTTTCGCCGTGACCTTCTCAACTTTTCGCAGTGCACACCGGGCGGCTGTGTATGACGCCGGGACTGTATGTACAGCGCCAGAGACACGTTACTTGATCGTACGGTCTGGCAGATGCGTTAACTCCTGTACTTGGGCACATTTGCCACGTCTGCTCAGTGAGGATTCCACGCGTCATGTCACTGTTTGGAGATCGGTCTGGTCTCGGCCTTGCTTTTGACACCAGGAAGCAGGAAAGGCTAACAGTTCCGATAGAATCCAAAAACCGGAAACAGAGCGACGCGTGTGAACGATGAGCTGTGCACATACTCTGCGAGGCGTCTTTCATAGAACTGCCGCAGGACCTGCTGTCCATACACAGCGTTCTACGAAAAAACGAGGGCCTGTGCCAGACGGAGGCTTTGGACTGTGGCCCAGCCTCCATGTAGGGTCGGAAATTGTAGTAGGTTCCGAGATACCTTCCGAGCAAGCGACAATGAGACAATCACGTTCGTTCGCTATTTTCACAAAACGACGAAAATCATGACATTATCCAACCACCAATTCGCTGTTCGTAAAGCTGCAACGCCAGCCAATGCATCATGCGAGGGGCACGTTCCAAGCAACGTGCCACAAAGAAACTGCCACATGTCACACACGCCCACCCCCTACGCTTGAGCCTAGAGCTCCTGCGAACAGACACAGAAAAACAGAGCTGTCCGGGGCCCGCAGAGGGCAAGGACCCTTTTGATGGACGTCTGCAGAATGCATCTGATTCGTAGGTCCTTGTTGAACTGGATGAAGGACCCTGTTTTGGAAGAGGGTAGCCGACAAGCAAATCATGGAACACAATGTGAACAGATGAGCACATGGGCACGTCAGCAACGTCGGCGCTGTGGCAATTGTTCCAAAAAAGCCCATTGGCTCAAGCGGCGAAGCCTACGGTTATTGCCCGTTGCGAGAGCTTGGGAAGTATTCAGATTCTTGCATCGCCTCATCTCCAAACCCCGTGCGACATGCACGCACAGCAGCAACTCCCACCCTCCACCAGAAGGAGACCAGTGCAAACAGTTTCCGGGATTCCTCTGCATCGGCAAGGCTTCATCGTTGTGGGTATATATCAAATAGTGGACCCGCGCTAAGGGCCCTCAATGTTGGCAAAAACGCCAGCTTGCGGCATATCCCCATCCCTGCCTAGAAAAAGGCAACAAATGGCCCGGGCCCGGGCCCCCGGGCCCCCGGGCCCCCGGCTGTCATCGAGCAGATCAGCAGATCCCCCTCTCACAAACGCCCTCCGCCGGGCTGAGTTTGCTTTCGAATGTCCCCCTCGTGCTGCATTTTCATTTGCGTTTGACATACACACACAGCGCACTCTTTGACTGCAGACTTTTTCGTTCCAGGCGATGGAACCTGGAAATCGGAAAGCCCTGCCCACCACATCGAGGGCATCCTGTGTGTCGCTGTTGACATCTTTGGTCTCCGTCGTCCAAGCTGGGTAAAGGTGCTCGCGTATGCTGTCGCCTGATGACTCGGGAGCTGCAGACAGCAGCTTTGCATTTCTCGCAGTCTGTTTGGCCGCAGTCGGCCTTTGTCCGTGGCCGTTTTGCCACGACATCTGCGAAATCCAAGATCAATGATAGAATAAGGCGTATGCTGGCACGCGATGGAGCATCCAATGCCGCAGTGAGACACGATATTTAATATTTGGACCAATATCTGAACAAAACGGACGTTTTAAATGCAACGCTTGCAGTAAGAAAGAATTCCGAAATTCCGTTGACGAGGCGGCGTAGACCAAGCAGGCACTGACATTTTGCTCACTCTGCACAAACGGCAAAGCTGACAAAAGTCGCACTCACTTCACCTCTAAGAACTTCTTTGTGATCCCATACCTGCGTGGTTTGCAAGCTCCACTTGGTCCTGAGGCGAACATCAATCGTCTCCAGCCTTTGTTCCAAAAACTGCGCGAATTCCTGGTCAACCTGAGCACTCACAAGGCTGCCTTCAGTCGGCACGCTGAACTGTGTTTTTTGCAGCGAGGGAACGTGACCCTGCAGCTGCAGCATCTTCTCTTTCACCTGCGGTCTAAGCCCCAAAACTGACAGTGCTCTGGGCCAGAGGGCAGGATGAGGCAACGGCGTTCTTGCCAGGCATGTCTTCGATGTAAACTGTACAATTCAGCTTCTTCTTCAGCTCGTCCCCCAAGGCCCTCGGAAGAAATGCTTTGAGCAGCGCACTCCAGCCTCCTCTTGTTCTGAAGCTTCGGGCTCTGGAGCAAGGCCGTAAGCTTCGAGATTGCAGATCCTCGTGACATTGTGGGCCCCTTTCCGGGACCTCAGCTTCATCCAAGCTGCCAATCATCCCCTACTCTTCGTTTCTCCTCTTAGGCTCCCGCAGAGAGATGGCGATGTTCACCGGTGCACCCTTTCGTGTCGTCACACCGACACCAGCCACGTCGATGGCAGCATGCCTTAATGGGCTTCTTCTCGCTTCACATTTGATCGCAGGGCCGAGCTGGCCGAGCTCCGAGCTGTTGCAGCCGGTCTTCGAGCTTCTCCTCGACCTGCTCCGCGTCGACCTCTCAAAAACAAACCCGCCGCTCAGATTGGGCCAACATCGACTGCAAAAAAACGCGATCCTCTGCGGGCCATTCTTGGTCCTTCTTCTGCCCGCCGGCCTTCACGCCAAAGAGATGATAGAATAGAAACAAGAAGTCGCCCCCTCCGAGGTCTGAGGCGGTCTTCCAGAGCGCCGTCAGGAGGCCATCGCTCATCTTGATCGGCCTCTGTGCACTGCATTGCACTGCATTGCACTGCATCGAAAGCCATCATTTGACGAAGATGAGGTCTCTCCTACTGCTGGGTGTTCAACCCATCAGGCTTGCCAAGACCCTCCTGCGCATTCCAACTTCGCCGCAAGGTGGCAACCCCCACACGCGAATGCTGGCGGGTCCTGCTCTATGTAGCTGAACACTATGGCTCTGGCCTGGGAATCTGTGATGATGTGATGCTGTGCCCCCGCAGTCTAGTTGACTGCTTTGCTTTGATTCGCCTCATCCCAAGTGTACAGCTCGTCCTTTTTCTTGCCCATGGCCTCGGAATGCGTAGTCTGGCTGTGTTCGACAAGACCATGCACCACGGAACCTTCCAGATCGGCTCTAGGTAATGTGAGGGCTTCCACCTGCACCGAACAAACTTGAGCTAAGGCTGAGCAGAGCGGCATAGGGCATAGGGCCCTCACATCGCCGTCACTTTGGGCGGCGGCAAACCTGCGACTCGTTGTCTGATGTGGGTCCGCGATGATCCGCGGGAGTCCGAGGTTGGTGGCCTGCGGGAGTCGCAGCCGCAGCCACAGCGGCCACGGGAGTAGCAGCCACCTGTTCTGCCTGGGAACATGACATGCAAAGAATGTACAGGCAGGAGAAGTTCACTGCGCTGCACTGCCAGCTGAGAGCTCCCACGAATTTTTCTTCGAGACTGACAAACACCTTGTGCTTGCGGTCCTGCGCCGGCAAAAGGGCACGATCCGTCGTCGTGAAGCGAAACGACCAAGCCGCTGGACTCGGCTTCCCACAACTTTGGATACATGGATGACACCCTTCTTCTCGGTGACGTCGATAGCTTTGGATTTACGCATGGCATTCAAGAATTTGCCGATCTGCTTGTGAGACCTTGGCAAGCTCGTCATTCTTGGCTAATACAAGTAGAGTAACACCAATTAATTGAAAATGATCATGATAATCTTGAGACTTCTGCGACTTCTTTACATCCAAGGTGGTTCCCTCAGGCCTGCCAGCAAAGCGAGGACAAAATACGGCGGTGCGACGAACGGTGCACAGCACGAAGAGCTGCAGGCCTTGCTGGCTTCATGTGCTTCTCGTAGAGCTCGGAAGCTTCTATGGGCAGGACCTGGATTTCAAGTCGTGTCAGCTTGGGCAGCACAGTGCGGCCCGGTACAGAAGGCCAACCTTGTCATCTGCGAGCCCTTGTTTGAAGGCTTGCAGAAAGGTGAAGTCCAAGAGGTCATCCTGCCTCAAGGCTCCACAACATAAGAAACTGAGATCAAGCCGGACACCAGCAAACGAAACATAGATAAGAGCTGTGCGTCCAGTCATCTGCCTCAGAGGTTTATAACTGCTCCCCGCACCTCGCGTTCAATCCGTTTCTGAGAGTCCTGCAGCTTTGCCGCCTGCACACTCAAAGGGGTCGTCGGTTGCATTCCCACGCCCAACTTCTCCACACCTCCTGGTGCTGCCGTCGCTGCGGACGCTGCGGTGGCCTGGGCCTCCGCCGCCGGTTCGACGAGGCCATTCGCCTCTGCGCTCCTCGGAGCATTTTCTGCCACGTGGGACGGGGCCTTTTAGCTGTTCAGCGTGCCGTCTAGTTTGAATTGCGTTGCAACATGGCAGGCAACAGGAGCTGCGAAGACCCTGCGCTAATTCACGTCAACCCAGTGGTCGTAAATCTTTGAGAACAGCCCTTCCCACGGGCAGCCAAGTCAAAACAAGACCAGCGGGCCCACGGGCCCACGGGTCCACGGGCCCACGGGCTCACGGGAACGCGGGCTCGCGGGCTCACGGGCCCACGGGCACACACATAGGCGTCTGTATATGTAGATTTGTGCCATATACATGCATACATACATACATACATACACGTACATATACATATATATGTGTATATATGTATGTATGTATGTATGCATGTATATGTATGCATATATGTACATATGTACATATGTACATATGTACATATGTATATATTTATATATGTATATATGTTTATGTATGTATATATGTTTATATATGTTTATATATGTTTATATATGTTTATATATGTTTATATATGTTTATATATGTATATATATGTATATATATGTATATATGTAGATATGTATATATGTATATATGTATATATGTAGATATGTAGATATGTAGATATGTAGATATGTAGATATGTAGATATGTATATATGTGTATATGTATATATGCATGTATGTATATATGTATATGTATATGTATATATATATATGTATATATATGTATATATGTATATATGTATATATGTATATATGTATATATGTATATATGTATATATGTAGATATGTAGATATGTGTATATGTGTATATGTGTATATGTATATATATGTATATATGTAGTATATGTATATATGTATATATGTATATATGTATATATGTATATATGTATATATGTATATATGTATATATGTATATATGTATATATGTATATATGCATATATGCATATATGCATATATGCATATATGCGTATATGCATATATGTATATATGTATATATGTATATATGTATATATGTATATATGTATATATGTATATATGTATATACGTATATATGTATATATGTATATATGCATATATGTATATACGTATATACGTGTATCTATATATGTGTATATGTGTATATATGTATATATGTATATGTATGTATATGTGTATGTATGTATGTACGTAGGTATGTATGTATGTCTGCATATGCGTGTACATGCACATGTATGTGTGTATTTGCATGTATGTCTATATGTCTATATGCATACATGCGTATGTGTGTATATGCATATGCGCATATATAAATGTCTAGATGTATCTGCCTTTTGTATTTGTGTATATGTATATGTGTATCTGTTTTAGTGTATATGTATATATTATTATACGTATATGTATATATGCTTATGTGTGTAAATATTTGAGGGGCCAGAAATTAATTTGGTAATTTAATTTTCATTTTTTGGTGATTTTTTTTTGCCGTGTGCTTGGCCTAAAGCAGAGGAAAGCAGCATGTTTCCTGCGTTTTACAAGGGAAGACATTATTTTCCATACATTTTGGACGGAATCCTGTGTTTTTCCTAGGAAAACACTACTTTCCTACAGATTCTTTGTTCTTTCCTTCGGTTTTGCTTGGTAGTTCCTCGGGAAAACACTATATTCCTACGGATTCTGTCTCATGTTCTGAGGTTTTGCGACCTCAAGAAACACAGCAGGATCTGCTGAAACCGTTGACTGGGGGTTGAAGCTTTCATTTGGAAGATTTATGTAGGGTTAGATGCCGAGATCATGCGGATACAATGGAATGAATGTAACACAATATAATATAACATTGTGTTATAATGTAATGGAATGTGATATAATATGCCATAGAATAATACAATATGCAATATAAACACGTTAATACTTAATGCAACATCCTGAAATATAGAGTATAACATGATATTATATGATATAATATGATATGATGCGATATAATATGAGACAACTTTATCTGATATAACAACATAAAATATAACATCATGTAGTATACTAATATACTATCATATGACAAAATATTTCTACAGTATACCAAAAGATGATATACTTTGATACGACTCGATATACTTAAAATAACATGATTTAGTGCAATACAACGCCCTTTGACATAAACTAAAACAAAACAATGACGCACCCCCCTTTGCAAACAGAATGCCTTTATGATGAGCTTTGAAAAGCTCCAAAACAGCTTTGTGTTTGATGCAAGTCTTGTTCATGATGCGATGTTCTTGAAAACAAGCCTGCGCGGCTTAAAAAGAAAGCAGGGTGTTGGGGGGGGCAGCCCCCCCCCCCATTTGCAAACACAACGTCTTTGTGGCGGGTTCTGAGAGGGTCCATATGGGTTCTGTTTTTGCTGGAAAGCTGATACCTGAAGCGATATAAAACGGGGACGCACTTCCCCAATTGGAAACAGAATGCTTGTATGATGAGTTTTGGCAAGCTCTAAAACAATTTTGTGCTTGGTGCAAGTCTTGTTCATGGTGTGATGTTCTTGAAAGCAAGCCTGCACGGCTTAAAACGAAAGCGGGCCCCCCCCCCAATTTGCAAACACAACGTCTTTATGACGGGTTCTGAAAAGGTCCATGTGGGTTCTGTCTTTGCTGGCAGGATGATGCTCGAAGCGACTTTGCTCAGTTTAAAAGCATGTGAATATAAATATATTTTAACAGGACATAACAGATGTAGTATAACATAATAAAATATAATGAAGAATTCATGTAATATAACATAAGATAACATCAAAAAATACATTAAAATATATAACATAAAATAATCAAACGTGATATTATATACTATGATACATTGTCATATACTTTGATATAGTATTACAGTTTATTATGGTAGAATAGAATACAGCAAAAAAGATACAATATGGTCTAATATGACATAATATCATGTCGTATCATATAACATTATACGGAACAGTTTAATATGATAGAATATAATACAATATACTAGAAGATAATACACTTTAAAGTATATATACATATATATGTAATTTAATATAACATAGTACATTATAAGACACGAAGCTATAAGAAGTCCAAAGGACAAGAAGCCGAGTGGCCGCAAAACCAAGAAGCCACCTGTGCTCACCCTTGCTTCGAAAGGTAAAATGGTAACCTTCTACAAGGGACCAGGGGACCAGAGGACCAAGGGGACTGAAAAAAAGGTTAGCATAAAAAAAAAAACGGAGTGAAGAAATACGCCCGCCATTAAAAAGCCGAGAGGCCGAAAAGCCAAGAAGCCTAGGAAACCGAGATGCCAGGAAGCTATACAAGACTAGAAGGCAGTATGCTCCGAAAGCCAGGAAGCCAAAAAAACCAAGAAGCCAAGGAAACCAGAAAGCCAGCAAGCCGTGCAAAACGAGAAGACAGTATGCTCCAAGTTACGATACCAGAAGAAGTCGAGGGGGCATTGAAAAGTCAAGAAGC